GTATCCCCATTTTTGCAGATAAACTGCATTACGATGATTATCATTTAGAAATAACAAGCTTTATAACTCAAATAATCAATAATAATCATCGAAATGAAAGTTTTCGAAAAGGGATATATTCATTGATATTCATTTGCTTAAATGATACTGAATTTTTGAACCTTTATGATGCATTATAAAACATAAAAAATGATAACTTTATTATCTATTTTTTATAATACCTTTGTTTAAAAAACTGATTTGATAGTTGTCTGATATTTCCTATAAAAACAAAAATTTGAGATATAAAATATACTAATCAGTTCAAATCATTTTCATTGAAATTGAGACCTAAAAACACGAAGTAATGAGTATTTCGATATACATCAATTTCTCAAAAAAATCCATTATTGAATAATTGAATTTGATAATATACAATTAAACATTCAATGATGTTAAAATAATTATGAAAGTCGTTTACGACTGTTCAGCTAATTTTGATGAATAAAATTATTTTCAATTATTAGTAGTATATGTGGAAGGGTTGTGTGACTTTTTTTGTAAACGTAAGAATTCATACAATATTGAACGATTTTGTATCATTTTTTTTAACATATGAAGTAAAAAATGTATGATTCTTACGGTTTTTATTCTTACGTTTTTGAATAAATCAAGATTTAAAAAATTGAATTCTTACGTAAAATTAAAACTAAGTTAAATTTATTTTTTTTATTTTTTATTTTATAATAAATGAGTATAACAACTAATTCATTGAAATCTTTAAAGTTCACTAATTCAGAATTAGAAAATATTTTAGAAAATTTTGGAGACGGTTCTTATCCAACATATATGCAGAATGTGAAAGAGTTTTCCAGATTGTTGAATGAATTTAAATATAACGGACCAATTACTAAAAAGGCTATAATGAGATATTTATATCCCAAAAAAGTTGAAAAACAGGAGAATATTCCTCTTTATGGTCCAGAGGACCTGGGCTCAGAGAGCCTTGAAACACCTCCTGAATATTTTGAAGAAAAAATTAAACAAGATGAATATTATAACGATGAGATTGAGAAATTGGAACAATTAAGAAATGAAATAGATGAAAGAATTAGTGAATTGAGAAATGCTGAGAATGAAGTAGAGGGTTTAATGAATATCCCAGCTTCAGAATCAGCAGTTCAGAAATCTCATGAAGAAAGATATAAAAATTACTTTTTGGAATCTACTAAAAATTTATTAGATGGTGATATTGACGAAACACTTTCAGAAGAAGGCACAAAATTTATTCATAAACATAAGCTTCAGTTTATTGACGATGAAGATTATCCATGTATATTACTTTCACCTCCTCTTGATTCTGAAAAATTCAAAAAAGCACTGAAAAATGTAACATATGCAACAAATACGATTAAGAAAGAAGACCATGATATTTACACAAATTATTATTTAAATAAATGTACAGGTGTTGATAAAGTTTTTGATTTGTTAGATAAAATATCAAAAGAAACAATTGGAACCTATAAAATTTTATGCGATTGTGGTTTCATTATTGAAGATACCAATAATGTTTCATATGAAAGAACAGCACCGAAGGAAGACGAAGTGGAAAGGTCTATACCATTCGTTATTAAGAACATAAAAGATATGAAAACTTATAAACATTATATTTATTCATTTATTTCAGAAAAAATGGAAGCAACCCATAAAACATCCACTCCTTATTCGTTAATGTTTTACCTTTATTTTGTTTACCAATTGCTGCAGTGATTGAATTTAAGTAACATTCAGAATATGGAATTTTCATTAATTTTTCCTTAGATAGAGCATTTCTATTATCATTCAATGCTTCATTAATCATATCATCTACGTATGTATTATATACTCCTGCTAATTCTTCATAAGGAGTGGATGAATTTAAATCCATTTAATCAAAAATAAATTTATAATTTTAAACATTTCTATTCATCAATATTTCATCATATGAACTTCTATACTGTGGTGGTGTACCTGTTGGATGATATTTCAAACCTTCGTCCGGTGTCCATGTCCAATACGTAGTCCTAGTAAACCAAACCTGAGGAGGATTTGTCACCTTTGAACAGTAAGTGTCATTTTCACCCTGAATGATTGGATAAGCTTTCACTTGTACTGTAACTTGTGAGTTGAAAGTTTCTAATCCATCAAAGAATATACCCGCTCCATCACGTTGAACTGGAATAGTGCATAAGAATGAAGTTTGGTCTTTCCATGTTCTAGCTAATGATGTGCCATCATCTGCATTCAGTGGTCTAGTTAATGAGTCCTCGTATTCTTCTGTGCATTCATTCACTCCATCTAAATCAGAAGCTTGAAGCATACGTGTAAAGAATATGTCGCCCACTGTGGTCATCGCTTGATCGGGGAAGTTTCTGGAATCTATAGTGACCTGAAGACCTCGAAGCATTGGATTTTCTAAAACCGTTCTTTGCATTGCATTCTTCGGAAATGCTAACACAACATCTGTAACATTATGAAGAGCGTATGAGAAATCTGAGCTAATACCTTCAGGAGTGATGCAACCTCCATTTAGTGAACGAACGTCAATATGTTGAGCTGGAATCATGAATGGATCTTCCTTACTGAATAAACGTGGTATTGCTTTAACTGATTCTTCAATTAAACCGTATCCTGGTGTAATGCATTTATCCTCTAAAACTTCCATCTTTGTGCATGAAATAATAACGTCATCAACTGTTGCGTCAGCAGATGTAGCGGCTAAGCTTGTAATTAATTTGGTAGGAAGTCCGATTTGTTGGAATTTGCGATCATATTTATAAACATGATTCATAATCTTTTCATAATTTTCATCAGTTATCTTTTCATAAACGTAATTTTGTAAATCAGCAACTCTTAACGGGTCAACCTGACAAAATACTAAAGTATCCCTGAAAACATAATATTTAAGAATGATTTCACCAAATGATTTAGGATAATCATCGAACGCCTGAAATGCTAACAAATCATTTACCGGAATAATCATATCAAAAGTGACATCAACTTCTTCATTTGCTTTCTTGAAAACTTCTGAAGGGTCAATATATTTACCACATACTGAGTTATCATATTTTTGAACATTATTATATAACGAATGAACAAACTTTTTAACTTTCCTTTCTGATTTTGGTTTATATGTTGCAAATGCGAAAGATTCACGGGCGCAATCCATCTGAAGATAACCGGCATCACCTCTTTCAGTTTCTACTTCTAATTGTTTAAAGCTTTGATTTGATGATTTGTAACCAACGAATAAACGCATGCATTTAAAAGCGGCATCACATGTGAAAGCTTTATTTGAAACTAGAGTTGCTTTAACTTTGCGTTTAATATATGTGTCACCTAATTGATTCACATCATGAGCCGGATTTGTAATTCTTAAATGAGTTTGTTTATCATCAAAATATGGAGCATCAGAGTCATAGCATGAACTTTCAAGTTCTCTATAATATCTTCTACCATCATTCTTTGCGAATATTTCATTTATCTTTTCGAATGAATGAAACACATTTCCATTAATCGGTTTAGTGTTTGGCACCAAATAGTTAGTCGTCATTTATTAATAAATAAAAAATCAAAATTAAAAGATGAAAATGAATTTTTAATTTTAATGAAATAATCAACTATGGCTGCAGGATTCTTTAAAAAATTATGGGATAGAGTAAAAAGAGGAGAGCATAAAGTTTGGGAAACATTGAAGAAGGGAGCAAATTGGATATTTAAGAATAAAGAAGCAATTAGTGACGTTGCTGAATCAATAACGCCAAAAGCCGCCCCAATAAGAGAAATATTAAATAAAGGAGAAAAAGTTTATCAAAGACTTCAACCGATACTAAGATAAAAATAATATTTATTTATTTTTCCACTATCTACCCCCTATTTTATTAAGTATTCCTTCAGCTATTCCACCAATTGCGTTACCTGCTTGTGCTCCCATTGCCGGATTACCTGCTTTAGTACCTAATACTCCACCTATGATAGTTCCTGCCGTTTTCGCTACTGGTGCCAAAAAGTTTGCAACGGGTTTAATAATCTTTTTATGAACCCAACCCGCAGCTTTCTTAATTCCCTCCCATAATTTTTTAAAGAATCCTGCAGCCATTTCTGATTTAATATTAATTAAAAAATATATTTCATCACTTATATTCTAATTTTTATTTAATGATAAATGAAACCAATTTTAAAAATAAATGAAACAGAGGAGGAAGAAATAAATGAAAGTGAAAATGTTCAACAAAAAATAAACGTTGTTAAACCAATTACTGAAATAAAAATTTTTTCATCTGTTGAAGAATTTAATGACTATTATGCCAATAATAAAAAATTATTTGAAGAATTGACAACATGTAAATTGAATAAAATGTTTAAAGTTGATGGATTCAAAATTTCAAAAATAAAAGGGGTGATTAGTTTGAAATCTATTCCTCAATCAAGAATCACCTCATTAATGAAAATAGATGATTTAACAAAAAGAATAGAAGAGATTGAAGAAAGAATGAATCAAATAATTGATTTCATAAATTCAAATAATCATTAGTTTCTAATTTTTTTACCCGTTTATGTGGTTTTTCATTATGACTCCGTTGATTCCATTCAGGATTTAAACAATGTTTAATTAATCGTGGAATAGCTGACATTATCTATATATAACTTCTTTTATAAGTGATGAAATATATTTCATTATGTATGGGTTGAGTGTAAATGTCTTACGATTTGAAAATTTTTTAAATCTTGATTTATTCAAAAACGTAAGAATAAAAACCGTAAGAATCATACATTTTTTACTTCATATGTTAAAAAAAAATGATACAAAATCGTTCAATATTGTATGAATTCTTACGTTTACAAAAAAAGTCACACAACCCTTCCACATATACTACTATTATTTTTTTCAGATAATCAATCTAATAATTGAATATAGTGTATTGAGAACTTGTTGGTCACTTCATTTTTCTTCATTATATTTAGAATAAGTTACAATCTAAATGAGTGAAGAAAATATAATACCAAGAGTGCATTTATCAGAGATTGAATTATCAAACTCATTTATAAAAGATACTCTTGAAGAGAAAAATCCTGAATGGTTAGAATCAAATGAATATGGCGATCCAATAATGAAATCAGTTGAAGGTCTAATTGAAAGCGAAGAAATAACCATCGCAAGAAATGGGATAATTGCAGCAGTAACAAATGATTTCATTACGATTTCAGTTAGTCCTAAAAATACATTTCAATTAAAAAATTCAGTGAATGTTGCAATAAGAATTCTAGAATCAATAGGAGATCATGATGCAATTGATTGCATACTTTCAAAGGTATCAAAAGATTTGATATCTCATAATAAAGTCATGGTTTCACCTGCTCATATTGTACATGCTTTCTGTACAATTAAAGGTAAAGTATCAATTGTAAGTGGCTTTGTAGAAAAAGCAAACTCATACATTGCAATTAACAAAGAATCAAATTTATTTTATGCATTAATTCATTCTTTTGTTTTCGGAAATGAATACATAATATCAGATGGAGATGTACACAAATATCAAACATATGAAGAAACAACAATGATCAACTCATTACTCATTAGATACTCAATTTTCTATGATAGTGATGTTAAAGATAACAGACCAATGCGAATAGCATCATCGATGTATCAGGAAATTCCAATCATTAATGATTTAATAAATATGGGAGTTATTTCAAGCTTAGGAATCCCAATTGCCGATATTGTATCTACTTTCAATAGTCTTGAAGTTGCAACAAAGAATGACAAGGCGATTGCATTATATTTTGATAATATGGATAATATAGTTGCATATAGAAATCTCGATAACATTTCAAGAATAATATCCAATATAGATGGAACAAACGCAGTCAAATTTTCTAAAATAGGCTTATTTATCTTGCATGGAGCCCAGAAAAAGATTGATCAGGCAGAAAATGCAATTATGAAAAGTTTATCATCAGGTGTTCAAAAAGAAATTACAACATACTCCGTTGATCTGCTTTCAAAAGTTTGTGAATATCTAACGGAAACATTTAAAGCAAGATTATCATCAATTCCAATAAATTTTAATGATCCGATTGAAACCATGAAATTTATCACCAATATACTCTATAAAAAACCTCCGAATGATACACAATTATCATTTGCGAATTCAGCAATATTTGGTTCTAAATTTGATACTGATAATCAATCAAGAATATATTTCCTTACAACACCACCTGGTTCTGGAAAAACAGCATGTGAAATTCTTCCTGCAGTTCATGAAAGATTCAGAAATTTGGATTCTAAAATTGGTGAAGAAAGAGGGATTACAATTATTTCTACTTCATTAGTTCAGGTTTCGGCTCAAATCGCAACAAATGCTAGTAAGATCATGTATGGCAAGGAAAAATGGATACGTATAAAACGCCTTGACGGTGGTATTAAAGAAGAGTCCAAAAATGATTATCATCAAAATCTCCTATTTAGGAAAAATGCATTCAAAGAAAGTATCGTTGACAGTAAATGGCTATACGATAATATAATAGGAAATCATGATATCCAACAAATTATAAAAGAGATTATGGAAAAATTCCATATAGGAGATAATTCTCAGATTGAAAATGAAATTAAATCATTTTTTGAAGACGAGAAACTCTTCAAGAAAAATGTAATCAGCAATATATTTGATGGATTTAACTCACAAGGAAAGAATATTGCAGATTGTATTGTTGGCACATATGAAATGGTTGTTTCTGCGTTATCATATTCTTTAATGATAGGGAATTCACATGAGTTAATTAAGAAAATCAAATATATTGTGATCGATGAATGGGATACCATTTTTAGAGTTACAACGATGAATGATGAAAAGAAAACTCTAATACAAACAATGAATCAGAGATTTTCAACATCTTATGCATTAATTGCGCTTGCAATTTTAATCATGAGAGTGAATCCATCCACAAAATTAATACTTGCATCTGGAACTGGATCAGACATGCTTTCACAATGTGAAAAAAATTATGAGGCAGATGTCCAATCAAATATGCTTGAACCTTTATTGCGTCCTATTTTTTCCTTTGGAGAATATGAATCGATTTTAAAAAAGATCGAAGAATTGTCAAACAATTCCAACAACGAAAACGCAAAATTGACAAAAAACATTTTGATCAATAAAATCAAAAAAATTGAAAATATTATGGCTGAGAAGATTTCGAGGGTAATTAAAATTTCTCCAGATAATATTTGGGGAACACGAAAATTATCATCGATTCCACGTTCCACTCTTAGGTCAGTCACCCAAATTCATTCTACATCAAACTTTTTATTTTGTGAAAGGTGTACTAATGATGGTATTATTAGAGCATCATATGCAATGAAATCATCAAATACAAATGATCATGTTCTGAATACAATTATGCATTTGTGTTCAATGCTTTTGATTGATATGAATATTGCCAAAACAATTAAGAATCTCAAGCAAAATCCATCAATGAATTCATGGACATTCCTTATTTCAACCATTATATGTATTCTCACTAGACGAGCTCCTGCTATCAGCAACAAAATTACATTAATCTTTGTTCAGAAAAAAGAACTTCATATTGGAATGTTAATTTTAATTGGGATTATAATTCTCATTCTTGGAAAATACAATAAATTTGATTATGATGCGTACTCAATTAGAGCACCTCCAAATGATGATTTTTTGGATACAATTGCAGCAATTTCTTCAAAACCAATAAAAACTATTTCAAAATACGCATCAATTGCTTCCCAAAACAAAATTTATTCAATCAATCATATTATTGATAAATGCAGTATTACAAAAGAAGATTATGTAAAGATTAAGTTAATAACGAGTATTGATGAAGTTGATTTTGTTGCTTATGCGATTACCATTGATCTATTAAAAGCTTTCTTCGAAATCGATCATATTTGGAATGTTTGCGAATTGTCTATCAAAAATGGAATCATTTCTGTTACACGTGAAACGACAAGCCAGAGCAATATGAATAATTATATTGCTAACAGAGATGTAAAACGTTTTCCACTGATTGCTATTTGCACTTCAAAACTTGGTGAAGGTGTCGATTTATCTAATGTAGGACCTGCTTTTGTGTTGGCACAAAACCAGTCTTACAATGCACCATCAAGCAGAGATTGTGAACAATGGATTGGAAGAGGATTCAGAAATTCTTATCTTTCTCTTGGTTGTCCAATTAATCAACCTTACTATGATGACCATAGGAATTTTTGTGCAGATAATCAAAATAAATTTATAATTTCCCACACTGCAGTTTATAATGGCTTCCTTTCAACTCAAATTGCAAGGAGAATAGTATCAATTGATGCCTTTTCTCAAATTATTAAAAAGGATAATAATCAATTCAATTTAGTTGATTTTCTTCCAAAAGCATTTTCTAATATGACAATTTCCTATTATTCTCCAATTATATTAGAAAATCTTCAAAATATTGATGGATCTCCTTTGCTGGAATCGATAAAATCTGCAATTGAAATGCTTACAATTCCAGCAAAGATGGTAATTAGGAAAACAAACATGTTTAGCTTGAACTTGAGAGATATTACTCAGAATGTACCAGATTTAATTGCGACGGATACATTAAATATTTCATGTAATGTCTGGCCAATTATTATATCATCAATGTTTATGGCACTTGTATGAAGCTGCCAATTCGAAGAAATTAAACAATTTCCTTTGATTCAGCTTACAAAATCAATTGCAGAGAGTACGATGATGATTGCACCTATTTCAATCATAAATGATATCAATATGAATGATCTTTGGAAATCAATTTTGGATTGCATCAAAACTCTTGATATTGAATCTGCAACAAAGCAATTATCGCAATTATCATTAAGCTTTCCAGATATATTAAATTATAGATCTGTATCCGATTTTTGTTATAAAATTGGATTCGAAATAGCCGAATTTAAAGGAGTCGCAACATTGTATTTTATATTAATAGTTGGGTCTTTAACTTCAAATATTAATATGGATGCATTCGGACCAACTCCAGAAGGATTCACATATCAAGAAGAATTGCCATTTATCATTGATAGCAGAATATCAATGAAGTATGCAAAAAATGTCATGAATATTTTTGACTTAATAGTAACAATGGGATTTGGAGTTAATTTGAAAAATATAGGAATAACAAATCGCCAAAATTCAAGATATTACAAAGCATATGAAGCAAGCAGTATTCGTATTTCTCCATGTAATTGCATGCCATCTATGTTTTACATGTGCAAAGAGTTCAATCCATTCATGATGAAAATCGGACCAAATAATCAGGTGATTATGAATTACGAAAAAGAAGAAGATGTTTTCAGATGCTTTGAATCATGCTGCAATGCAATATTATCTTTAAGCAAGGAAGATGTTACAATGTTCCAACATTATGACAATAATGTGGAAGGAGCGGTATACAAAACTCGATTTAATAATATCTTTGAGCTTTTAATCAAGAGAACTAAATCAATGCATGATCCAAGGTTAGAGTTATTTAGTATTGGGATGAGTAAGTTATGTGAAATCTTTCAATCAATTAAGGCTCATGCCGATAATTTGTCTGACAACATGTCTCCGTTTTTATCACTTATTAACGGTTTTTGTTCGAATTTGTTACCTCAGTTTTCCAGAGATAATAATGATGATGATTCAATTGCAGAAAATTTCTCCAAATTCATTGAAAAAACTCTTGATAATATTGGCGTTATTGATTATGATGCTTCTATTATAATTTCAAAAATTTGAATAATAACGTTATTTTAATAAAATGATTTATTATTTTTTTTAAACAGCAATATTATTTTTATTTATTTCTAAAAAAAGTGGTATGGTTACTAACAATATACTCGCTAAATGGTAAAATTAACATTAGTCTTTTCATGTTGATTCTATAAAGTTTTTTTTTAATATTTAGATGTTTACATTAAGAGTACACATATACCGATATGAAATTAGTTCAAATTTCTGACATTGGGCGTGAATCAACATTAAAAATTACCTTAGACTGCAGAATTTAAGGCTGTGTCATACGGCTGTAAATGAACTCATAATATAGTCATAAATATTCTTTTTATTTATTTCTAAAAAATTATATGTCTAAGCTGATCTGCAGCATATTTAATCGAATCATGTTGATTAGAGATCGTTATTACAACTCTGGAGTGGTTATTTATTAATGTTTCCAAAGTAGTAGTAAAGTCGCAAGGAAACAATTCTTTTTCAATCAATACAATTAGTTTTGGGCAAAGTAATCTATAAAATAAGAATTGTGGTGAATGTAAATTTTTCATAATAATGTGAAACAGATTCAAAGCATGACAATTTTTAGGAAAATCCTGAGATAGCATCTGAAGTAGATAAGAAAAATAGTTATTATTGTTAAAATAATTGCTTAACTCCGTGTTAATGATGTTATAATTAGCATTTCAAGAAATATTGGCATCAAATTTTGATATGATCCATCTAAAAAATTCATCTATCAAATCGACATAATCATCTTCAAGATTAGTAACTATTTGGTTTTTTATTATATTGATTTGAAAATGTTTATACTTGTTGATAATGCATGAATATTTCAAAACTTTTGTTTCATCAGCATTTATTGAATCTGCATACCACAACCAATAATATAATGGGATTGTTGCTTCATTAAATAAAATAATGGAGTCTTTATTTAGTTGAATAAATCCATATTGATAAGGGTGAAAATTGATTGATTTTGAATTTGTAAAATAGAATGCAAATAATGATTCATTTTTGAAAAACTGTCTACTTAAGAATTCTATATGCTTTTCAAGAATTAAGTCATTTGATTCCATTAGCATATCCCCATTTTTGGAAAGAGTCTCTAAAATTTTCAAACAGTAATTTGTGTCAAAAGTTACTTCGTGATGATGATCATTAATGTAGTTAAAGATGTTGACAAAAATCATTTCTAATATCTTCATATTGCGATCATTGACGTTAATGCCAATGAGAGATTCATCAATTGTAAATGGAACTGAAACAAATTTGGAATATTTGGAAATTACAAAATACAAATCGATGTCATCTCCACTCATTTTCCTGCATAATAATTTAATTATGTTTCCTGCAATTAAAGAAAATCTATGGTCATTGAATGTCAGAGACATTTAAAAATAATGAAATGAATATCATTCAATATTAGGTGAAGATTTTTTTTAAAAATATTCATTAAGTTTATACTAATATTTATAAATATTATATTAAGTTTTGAATAGTTAAGAATATTTGTGTTCACTTCATTTTTCAAAGAATGAACTATAAATACTGCTCAGATGATTTTGACAAATCATTTATTGATGATAAATCTATTCCAAATAAATGCAAAAAAAGTATCCCGTTTAATAGCATTATATCAGAAGCATACCAAATTGCAATGAATTGTAACATAGAATACACGAATGTTAACTATGAAAGAGGGATCAGTTTGTGCTACAAATATATAAGTGAATTCCATGAACCACTTTCCATACTAATTGCAGCTGTTCATCAATATGTGCATATATACAATAAAAGTGTTAAATCAATGATAGAAATAGATGATAATTATAGTTTAAATGATGAATTAGAAAACATTGATGAATTCGGAACCACAAGAAAAAATGAGCACTTAGGAATAGGAAGATTTCAATTCATATTTGAAAATGGAAAATTTCATAGCACAGGAAGTTCAGGAATAGTAACAAAAGTTCCCTCTTTTTCTATTTTAAAATCCAGTTCTGGAATAATGGATATTGATGCATCATTACCGGTGTGCTTTAACTCTATTATTTTGACACATATTAGTCCTGAGATGTGGGATGAAGATTTTTTAGAAAATGATGAATCAAAATGTAATCAAAGCTTAATAGAATTTATCTCTAATATCGAAGATATCCAATTACACATTCCTTGGACATTGGCTTTAAGTCAATCAATGAGATCAATGTTCACTCCATTTAACTTTCTTGAACAGATTAACAGTTTTTCAGATAGTACGATATACGGATGCATAATGGCGATTGAAAATGATTACTACAAGTTATGGAATGATTTGTCAATTTCAATTTTTAAAGCATTTGCAAATGCAGAGCTATCAACAAATAGTGAGGAAAATTTAAATAATGAGATAATTATTCGAAATAATAGTTGTGGAGATGGCAATATTGAATCTAAATATTATATTGATTTTCAAGATAGTGTCGAAGCGATCATGGATTTATTATATGAAAGAAATGAATTTTTTGCAATGGATCATCAAATTTCTTCCGCAAATAATGAAGAAATCAAACCTGTATATATCATTGGAATTGATTCATTGAAAACATTTTTCATTGGAGCATTATACGAAAGAATTGATTGCATGATGACGGATAATGCATCGTTTTTCGAATGCTTTGTTCATTCAATTTATTTGAATGACAGCTCAATTTCAATTATTGATGTTGCTAACATGATATTCCATGATATTATCGATACAAGAGAGTGGAAAGATATTGAAAGAATATTAGATTTGGACACTATCGATTTTTTCAATGGAGTTTTTTGCATGATAAGGATTTACATTAAGTGTTTATCAAACTTCTTAACAATTTAGAAATGATGTGAATGTGATATACTTAAAACAAGAAAATATTTTAATTTTAAATTTATTATTAATATTATTAAAGATGAACTTATACTCACTTGATACCCTCTCATTTTTTTGATACTCTCTTACTTGTGAAGCATATCTAATAAAATGATCATATTTTTTTATTATTATTTTCATTTTTGATTTATTAATCATATGATCATATTATGCCAAATCATAGTATTTATCAGATTTGCAAAAAATATAAGACATTGTCTCTCACACCAAAAAAAAAATACAGAATAGCAAGTATAAGTCAGTAAACGATCTTTACTCGTTTTTTCATCTCTGATTTAAAGTGAATACGAATGAAGTAAATATAAGTAGTATATGTGAAAGGGTTTAGTGACTTTTTTTGTTACATCTATATATAGACGATGCATTAAAATATAATTTATAAACACATTAAAAAAATTAACATTAATTTTAAAATAATTTATTTTTTCATCTTTTATAAAAGAAGCTATATATATAGATGATGTCAGATATTCCGCGATTAATTAAACATTGTTTAAATCCTGAATGGGTTAAACTTCAATTTAAAAATTCATGTCTTACATTTTTTGAATAATTTATTTTTTTATTTAATGATAAATGAGTGTCACAACTAACAACGTTAAAAAATTAGGATTCACAAACGAGGAAATAAAGGATATATTAGAGGAGGCAGGTTATGAAGTTAGTAAATATTATTTAAGAAATTGTCAAAAATTTGCCGAGTTATTAAATGATTTAGATTATGATGGAAAAATGAATAAAGATGATGTTATAAATTTCTTATATCCTACATCTGAAGAAGAAAAACCTAAAGAACCTGATGTTTTCCCTGAATATTATGAAGAACGGATTAAAGATGATGAATATGATGAAATTGAAAGACTGGAAAAAATAAGAGATGAAATAGATGAAAAAATTAAGGAATTAAGAGAAGTTGAAAAATATAATGAAAATGAAGTAGAGGGTTTAATGAATATCCCAGCTTCAGAATCAGAAGTACAGAAATCTCATGAAGAAAGATATAAAAATTATGTCTCAGAATCAACACAAAATTTATTAGATGGTGAAATAAACGAAACACTTTCAGAAGAAGGTACTAAATTTATTCGTAAACATAAGTTACAATTTATTGATAATGAAGAATACCCCTGTATATTACTTTCACCTCCTCTTTGATTCTGAGAAATTCAAAAAAGCTCTTAAAAACGTGACATATGCAACAAATACGATTAAGAAAGAAGATCATGATATTTACACAAATTATTATTTAAATAAATGCACAGGTGTTGATAAAGTTTTTGATTTGTTAGATAAAATATCAAAAGAAACAATTGGAACCTATAAAATTTTGTGTGATTGTGGTTTCATTATTGAAGATACCAATAATGTTTCATATGAAAGAACAGCACCGAAGGAAGACGAAGTGGAAAGGTCTATACCATTCGTTATTAAGAATATAAAAGATATGAAAACTTATAAGCATTATATTTATTCATTTATTTCAGAAAAAATGGAAGCAACCCATAAAACATCATCTCATCATTTTATAGCTATTCATACATTCCTTTTCAAAGTTGTGAAATTAAATAAGACAGGAATTAGATTTAATGTATCAGGGTACGCATTCTTGAGTAAATTAAAATGTATTCGTCACGTCGCAGATGATAAAAATTTATGTGTTCTTAATTCATTTTATGGACTTTAAAAAAATAAACTTTATTTTTATTTATTTTTTAATTTTTATTCTTACATAAATGAACAAAAATGGAACAGCTAAAATGAATGATAATCAAATTAGAGCAGAAGGTAGAAGGTTATTTAAACGCTTCTTTATAACATTCCTGATGGTGTTAATCCTAAAACTCGTAGAAGTTATTTAAACGAAGCAATAGATGCATATGAAGGGTTTGACATTTCATCAGAAAGTGAGAGGTTAGCAAGAATGTTAAAAATATTGATTTTTATTATTGTGACCCTCAACCAGAAGACGTAGACATTAACAAGGTAGACTTTCCATTAGTGGAATCAATAATGATAGATCCAGAATTTGAAACAGTAAATATTTTATTAACACAGAGTCCATGTGGAAAACTTCACGCTGACAGAATAACAGACGTTGAAGCACTCACCGGCTATAGAGTTTGCCCCTTTTGCAAAGAAGAAGTATATTCTATCCGTGATGATCCAGAAAGGAAAAACCAAAGAAGATTTTTAAAACATTGTGAGAAATGTAAAGAAAATAATGGAAGATTAATTCAAGACGTTCAATTGCAAAACACACAACAACCATATGCACCACACATATCACGAAACAGAAGATATATCAATGGCTATTAGCACATAATTTGCAGGAATATTATAAACCAACAAGATATTATATTACTTTTGACTTCGAAACATTAGAGACTAAAGAAGAACTTCAACTTTCTGAATGTGCAACTTTGAATGCTTACTTAAAACCATTCATGGTATCATCAACGGTTAAATTAAAGCCGCAAAGCGGCGAGGTCGTAGACCGTGATAAAACATATACGAGGAATTTTTGCTTAACTTCAAGTGATTCTTTTATTTCTGATTGGATTGAGTTTTTATTTTCAACCTGTTCATTAGTTGCTAAATCAAATATTGAACAATATGAAGAATTAATGAAGCCGCAAACATTAAATGAGAAACAAAAGGAAGCATTTAAAGAACTTCTAGATGAGGAATTCAATAAAGTGAATATCATAGGTTTTAATTCGGGAAAGTTTGATTTAAATTTAATTCTTCGTGATTTAAACACTGCAAAATGGAAAATAAAATCAATGCTGGGTTCATCTTCTCAATTTAAGCAAATCATTGTAAAGAAAACAAACGTTCCATATGAATTGAGATTTATTGACATCAGAAATTATATAGCGGGTGGGACATTAGACCAATTCACTCGAGATTTCGGAAACAATAAATCACGTGTTAAATCCTTTTTCCCTTATCAATTCATCACGTGGGAAAATTACGAAGAAGAATTATATAAAGAGGAACCATTCACGAAAGATTCATTTTATTCAGCATTAACTCAAGAAACTATATCAGATAGTGATTATCAAATATATCTCAATGATGCTAAAAATTTTAAGAATAGATTAGAATATTTTATTCATTATTGCAATAAAGATGTTGAAATTATGATTGACCCAATTGATAAAATTATTGAAGAAACATTTGTTTATAAAATTGACATGCTTCATAATCTTTCTTTATCATCGAATGCATCAATGATTCGTTACGCTTTAGCATATAAAGACTTTAATCCTAATGAAAAATATCCAGAAGAAGAAAATGTGGAATCAAGTTTTGAATTAACGAAAAAGTATTGGAAATATAAAATTGAATCATATAAGAAACAAGATGAAAAAGCAGAAAGAGATACTAAAAATAATGTTTCAATGGATGATTTTCAATACTATCACGATTTAATCCTTTCATCTAAATGCAAAATGTGTGGTAAAGCGTTTACATATGCAAATAAACTAACATTAGATAGAATCGATAATGAAAAACCACATACCAAAGAAAATTGTCAGTTAATGTGTTGTTATTGCAATGTCGTAAAATCAAATAAAGATGAGGATGTTCAACGTTTAAGAATCAATTTAAGAAATTATGCATTAAAAAATAATTTACCAATGACTTTAGATTCAGTTGAAGCTTATCACATTCTCCGTAATGGAATTACTGGTGGTCTATCAAATGTTCAACATCGTGTTAATCTTAAAGGAATCACGCACATTAATAAACTTTCATATAGTCCAGAAACTAAAACTGTATCAAATGAGGACACCACCAACATTATGACTCATTTTGTTGGAGTTGACTTTAATTCATTATATCCTTCATCATTTTCATCTAATCCTCATGATTTCATTCAATATACTAACCATAAAATGTATATGCCGGGAAGATTGAATGGTGTTATCATTTGTGATACAGCAACAAAGAAAGCAAAAGCATTGGGAATAATTAGAAAGAAAAATACTTTATTCGTGGCTGAAGTAAAGGGTCACATTGATGAAAAATACATTAATGATTACATAAACTTTTTACCGATAATAAGAAACTTAGATATTATCACAGATGAAAAAACAATTGGCAGTTTTATGTATAATTACATGAAATCAAACAATCTACCAGTTGACCAGAAACAGAGAAAATTAACTCAGTTAGCATCAACACACAACCAATATCAACCATTTTCTTCTTATTATCTTTGGTATCTAATAGACAGATTTCATTTTATCATTGATGACATTCAATCAATTTTAACATTTACGAAAAATACTTGTTTTAATGAATTTGCGAACGAATTTATGAACGAAAGACAAAAGGCTGAATTAGAAGGAAATAAAGGAAAAAGTTTATTTTGCAAGATTTCACTTAATGGATCATATGGTTACGATGCAATGAATACACAAAATTACGCAAAGACTAAAATAATGAATGCACAGAAGGCACGCGTTGCATGTATGTCAAATAAGTTTAAAAACATAAGAGAAATAGGTGAAGATACGTATCAAGTGATGCTTAAAGATAGATTTTATAGATGTGATACATGTTTACAAGAGGCATTCTTCACTTTAGATAATGCTAAATACTGGTATTTGGTTTTCATTTATGATTTTATGTATAAATGCATGGATGTTAATCGTTTTCATTTCATTGAAGGTGATACTGATTCATCTTATTGGGCTATTGCTGGCGATCCAAGTCTTCCTAACACTCAAGCATTTCAAGCAATTGTAACCGATAAACAATTTTATGATAAAAACATTTACAAATTCGCACCTTTTGATTTCTTCTGTTTTGATGAGAAATTTAAACCTAAATTAAAGAATAAAGCTGAAGAAAAAGCACATGAGAAGAAGTTATTGGGTTTAGCAATTGAGAAACAAGGTGATAACATGGTTGCTTTATGCCCTAAGTGTTATACT